CAATGTGGTCTGTGTATTGTGCAGTGTAAAAATACCAAGAGGAAATGTTAGGAATATTTACTCATTTGAAAAAAGTGGAGTGTACTCTGATCTTGCCCATCATCCAGAAGAATGTGTGGTACTATGTTCAAAATTTGTGTGAGAGTTTGCAAAAGTAGATGTAGAGAGGTCCAATTAAGAATTAGCAATGAAAATGGGCTATGCATATTTTGAGCCAAAAAACAGATTGAACAAGAGTTAGACTCCCTAGCTAGTGATGATATTACTTTAGGAATTCTGGAAATTGTAGTTCTAAAACCTTTGCAATTTCTGCATTTGCCTGTAAAACACAGACATTCTCAGAGCCTATCTGAGGAACTGAACAACATCCTAGCCTCATTTCCAGAAATCTGAATCAGACTGCAGAACAGTCAGTGGAAAGGAGCCTCTTATCCTCCTCCACACCTTTCCTTTGCCTAAGTCCCTTCCCTCCCATACGAGCGGTGTTTTGCCTCTAACACTGAGTAAATTGAGGGCCAATTATACTGCCCAACATCTGCCTGTAGCTGTACGTGGGTCACAGTGCTAACATGTTTGAGAGCCACTGGGCAGATAATTGTTTTTCAAAAGTTGGAATTCAATCTGAATAATTGTGCAGATCAGCAGTAGATGGGGTTGGAGTAAAAACTGACTGGAACCCATAAACCCAGGAGTAACAACTCTATGATTAAACCTTTTCCTTCTGTTGCTGTTGTGTTCATTCAAATAGTTTCTGATTTATGGCAACCCTAAAATTGTGGGGTTTCTTGCAATATGTATTCAGAGGGTGTCTGCCTTTTGTCTTCTTCTGAGACTGAGAGAATGTAACTTGTGCAGGATCACTCAGAGGATTTCCATGGCCAAGTGCGGATTTGAACTCTGGTCTCTAGAGTCTAGTCTAATGTGCATGCTACTGTACCATGGCTGGCTTTGCTTCAGTGCAAAGTCATCCTTATGCAACTGCTTTTGTACATTCGAGGAGGAAAGATAGCTTGTTTATTTTTCAGTGAAAGTTTGATAAAAGAGTAATTATAAAATGGAAAGAATCTGAATGGAAAGGGTTAAGCAGCTTCTTTCCTGCGTCCCTCAGGGCAGCGTAGGGCATGCTGTTTTGGATTAAAATAAACAAGGCACCATGGAGGAGAGAATCTTAGAATGCCATGTAATGTCTAGTTTGAGCCTGAGAGACCAAAAATAGTGCAAAGTAAATGTCTAACGTTATTGGTTTCATGTAATTTGGCAGTTTGACAAGCATACCTTAATTTTCTGGCCACATGTTTTCGCAGCTTATTTTGAGTTGTTAGTTTTGGAATAATGCATAAGAAAGAGTGCCGCTTGCAGTAGCTTCTAAATAGTTCAAAAACATTGTTAGTGCTGATCCCTGAAGTAGCCTGAGAAGCATCTGTCCCCACATATTATCATATTTTCTGCAAGGATATCATTGTTTTACTGCAATCAATACATTCTGCACCCACAATATTCCCTCTATCTATCAACCTTGTAGCTTATCAAAGTAAGAGGTAAGATCACTCTGTGTTCTTTCTGAGGAGCCCAAGTTAGTTCAAATTCATAGCATTTAAGATTGTTAAACAACAGCATTATTTTCTATGTATTCACAGACCTGACTATAAACTTCCTGGCATCTTGTCTATCTGAGAAGTTGAAGGCAACCTTTGTTTGCTTTTTAGTCATTTTTCAAGATGGCAGCAACATTTTTCTATCCTCAATGTACAAGAACCTTGTCTGCTCTTCAAAAATTCTTAAAGATTATTGATAACGATTTTGCCGTTACTTCTCTTAAGTTCTTTTTGTGCAATTAGATCCAGTTTTTCTGGCTCTGGAGATCTGAATTTATTTAAAGTAGTTAGTGACCTTTTTAAAAATTACCAGGTTGAACATTTGTTTTTGAGGAAAAGACCAAGATAAAGCAGATATTGAACAGTACTTGTTTCATTTTTTACCTATCCAACATTCTCCATCTGCGTCTTTGCGTGGATTGCGTCTTTGTTTCTTCTTTTATTCCAGACAAACTCTTTTCATGATGCTTAATCTTTCAAGTCTGAGCTCATCCTGATCTGTAGTCTTTCTGACCCTTCTCTCTACAAATATTGGCTGCTCATTTCTTCTTTTCCTTGGTGATTTATCCCTTCTACATTTCTTATGCATTTCCCTTTCTAATCTCAGCACATCTCAAAGCTTCTTATGCATTCACATTGGTTCTTTTGGTGCCACCCACTTTTCTTTTTCATTAGAATTATTTGCAGTTGTGCTTTCAATGTCATATTTTGAATAAACTCACAGTGGCCTGTGTATTGATCAACTCATAGTTTTTAGTCAATTTTCAGTCAAAAAATTGTATTCTACACAAGCATATACAATATATGTGATGCTCCTATCTTCATTTTCTTCCAATGAACTCACAGCTACATATACTGACTTTTTTTCTTGCACTTTTTATCCTCATGATAACTGTGAAGGATTAGGTCATGTTGAGAAAAAATAACGGACTCAAGATCACCCATTGGATTTCGTGGTCAGTACTGACTTGACACCACACTGTCTTACACTAATGCTAAATGTTTTTAGCACACTGGTTTCTGGTAAAGAATTGCAGGCAAATACAGGGCAGAATAATTTATGAATTAGCTTGACACATACTAAGTTTCTGCTGTTGTTAATGCTGAAATGTTGCATTTTTAACTTTTTTGTGTGTGATATCAAACTAAGTTGAAGTAGGATCTACACTAGGTTTATTCCTGGGACAAGCACTGTGCTTATAAAAGAAGTGAAGAAATAGTAGTTATACATAAAATACACCCCAAATCTGTATTTAGAACGATGTTCCAAGCAATATCGCATAATAATGTTTTCTTTCTTCCTAAGTATTTTTCTCCTTCTCGTCTGTTTCATAATCAAGAGTAGCTCTCAATAAATGCATGATAAAGTATAGATTAAAATACAGCACAGCAGATAAAACAGATCAAAATATGAAGGCAAAGAACTGTTGAAGGAAACTGTTTAGCAAAAACACCAAGCAGAAAGAGAGAATTTTCCATTATGACAGCAGAAAAGTCCCTTCTCATTTTCAGTGAATTGTTTCAGTAAATAATTTTGAATTTTTTGAACTGACAAGACAGTAAATGAGTTTATGGAAGAACTCAAAGAAGTGGATATGTATATCCAGGGGCAATCTGCAAAATAATAGTGAATTGGCTTTGGTGACTTAACTTTTCCATTTCTACAGATGCTGTCTTTAGGGATGGGGGAGAATTTAATTTAATAAATGTTGGAAAATTAAAGGACTGGAGGTTTTATAGTTGCTTGTATTCACATAGTCTGGATTAATGTCAAATGCCTCCTAGATTCTAGCCTTACATTTAGTAGTGGTAGTAGCAATATTCCCACTTTACTTTCAAACATATATTAGTAACATAAATTGTGTGTGAGGACATAAATCTCATTGTGTCCAAAAAGATTTATGCTCTGGAAATTTTATTTAGGATTGAGTTTAAATGAACTGTTGCGTGGGTTCTGAGCTCTGCCCGTGTTATTGTTTCCTGCTCACATTGGGGAAGCTAAGTCTCACTTCTTTCTATACTATGTAATGCCTTTTGCAGCTCGTCTGTTTAATTCTCTACATACCATGATAGCTACAAAAGTCTGAAATACAAATAAATGTATTTTGTAAACTTGGATTAATCGAAGATTTGAGCCCTTGTCTATCAGTTTCTGTAATTATATTTTAAAGTAATAAGTAAAATGCTTTTTTGCCATTTTGCAAGGAAAAGTAGAGCATCCTTTGTTCTGGAACAAATTCTGGCCAGTTCTTCTGTGGGGATTCTTATTACTATTTTCCTCTTAGCCCAAGAAAATGATTGCAGTTCTATGTGCAATTTCTCAGTTGTAAGGCTTACCAAATTTAATATTTACTTACAGGTCTTCTGTTTTTTCAGGGGTTAGTGGAAAAGCCATGGCTATAATAACATGCATTTGACAGACTATTTTCCCACCAGTTGTCTCATCGCATAGCTCTCTTTCCCACCTTTAGCAGCAGCTGCTCACAGCGGATCAAGCTCTTGTCCTGCTCCATCTTGTCCTCTTCCTCCACATCTTCTTTCCTGGCAACAGCTTTCCCACCTTGGCACCATGACATCTCAGATTTCGCCTGTCCTTCTCTCCGGGACACGAAAGCTGATTTTAGTAACAAGTAGCAACACCAGAAGCAATTTGCAGTTTCTCAAGTCGCTCCTGACATGAAAAAAAAAAACCCTCTTACCTTCCCACTTCAACCTTCTTCTCTTCCTTCTGTTTCCCTCCTGCCAACAGCCCCAACCCATATTGCCTTTCCACCCTTGTCACAGTAATGCCTTGGCCAGATTTTCAAAACTCCTCTGCTTCCCTAGAACATCAAAGCTGATTTTAGTGGCGGCTGTTGGAAGAAGTGGATTGACCTCTCCCTCCTCCCCATCTCTTGCCCTGTTACCAATGCCAACCTATAGCTCCAATTCCTACCTTGGCACCATCAGATTTTCAAAACCACTCTACCTCCCTAGGACACAGAAGCTGGATTATACACCAGCTATTGGTGGTGGCAATAGCAGACCATAGAGGGGGTGATGGAGAGGTTGATCTGCTGCTACTGATAAAATCAGCTTCAATGTTCTAGGAAAGTGGAGGGACTTTGAAAATCTGGCTGAGGTGACATGGGACAAGTGGTAAAAAAAGAAGTTTTAGACTGGGGTTGTTGGCAGGTCAGGCAATGAGGTGGTGGTGGTGAGGAGGTTGAGTTAGTGAACTAGCTGCTACAAACCTGCAAATGATCAAATGTATGTAAGTTAAACCTGTAACTGTGGAGAAGTGACTGTAAAACTCACTTTTGAGCTGATGTAAATGAGACTGTACTGTGGACATCACAGATGCCTTTCTAAACAATCCTGGTTTTGATACTTGAGTATGAAACTTTTCTCTTTAATTTCTTCTAGATTTACTGGACCAGATGGCCCAAGTGGCTTTGGATTTGAACTGACATTCCGACTTAAACGTGAAACTGGGGAATCTGCACCACCAACTTGGCCAGCAGAGTTGATGCAAGGCTTAGCCAGATACGTCTTCCAATCAGGTACTATGTAAATGATTTGCTTTGTGTTAGTGCAAGTTTTTTGGGAGGAAGGGGGTCGTTTTATTTTTTACCAGCAGGTTGTGGCAGAGATAGTTGTGAAATTTTGTACATTTGATTGGTAGAATGATAATTCAAATATTTTCTTTTGTTGGAAGGTATGGTAAGGGTGCCATTTGTCCAGGTGATTGCTTCTCGTGCCTCCTTAAATACTGCATTGTTTTAAACAATAGATAACTTGGTTTGCTTTTACATGTATGCTAGAATCATTCTTGTTGGGGAGGGTTAGAGTCAGTCATTTGCTAAAATAGCACCACGTGATTCCTTGGCTAATTCTAGACTTGAGATCTCTTTAGCTTCATGCTGCTTTGTACGGAGTAAGAGTCCGGGAGAATCAATTAGCAAAAACTCTTCTTGATTGTTTGTGGAAGCATCTTAAATGTTTTTGATAGCTGTTGATCTTTTTGACTCAGATGAGAGTTTGGCAGGAATTTGTCTTATGCTCAAGCAGTGTGTAGGTATATTTTGCCCCTTTTCTTGCCCTGGTTCTTTATACAAGGGCAAAGAGGAGCTAAGCAAACCATCGACTTCCAACCTATGTTGTTTTTTTTGTTGCGAAACATGAACTGAGAGTTCTGGTTTGTCACAGTTATAAGCCAACAAAAAACATGTTTTATGGCACTTGGGAAGAGTAATACCATAGTTCCTTGATTGGAAGACTCATTTGCAAGAGAAGCCGAGCAGGAGCAGTAAAACCACATGCACTAACAAGTTGCCTCATTCACAAAACATACTGGTTTACTGTGTCATATGAATATGTCCTATTAAAACAATCTAGTTTCATGTTCATAAATTTTTCTGATTCTTCTTTTTTTCCCTTTGGTTCATAATTATTTATAAAACGCCTCAAACACAAGCTGTGTTACAATTACAGTTCTTTAAAATCTTGTATTCAGTCATCATCCTTGAAGTCTTGAAAGAAATACATGCTATTTAAAAAGGGGAAGAAACACAGGAATACATAGTAATATCTTCCCTATTAAGAGCACTTTTCACTTTGCCAAGAAAAATACCCTATATTTACTTGAGTCGAATGTGTCATAGAATCTGATGTGCACCTCATTTTCCAAAACCCTGAACGCAAAAAAAATATGTGCTGGCAAATGTTATGCGCAGCTGCAAAAAGTGCACTCAGTCATTTGGCCCAGGAAAAGTGCACATTGCAGTCTGCTTTGGATTCCTTCTTCAAAAACAAAAGTGTTAGGACACCAAAGAGTCTAGAAATGAAAAGGTAAACCTTGATGTGCATCTCTGCTGTAGAATGATTCCACTTTAACTGCCCTGACTTGATGCTATGGGGCCATGGGGGTTGTAGCTTGGGATCATGGGGCCTGTCAAAGAATGCTGATGCCTCAGCAAACTACAAGTCCCAGGACTGCACAGCATTCAGCCATGGCAATTAAATGAGAGATGATGTACCTCAAAGAGGAGCTACGGGTTTAGCTTCCCCCTTTGCTTGAGCTCAGCACTGATAAGACACAAATCTAATTCACACCTTAAGTTTGGAGAGGTTATTTAGCCAAAAAATATGAGCATTAGATTCAAGTATCTTTTGCATGTGTTTTTAATTTCGTTCACTATTGGATCTTCCTCTGTTACTTTATTATTCCTGTGTTGCTGTCTGGCTTGAGCAATTCCAAGTTGACGATTTCTTAAATTTGGAACTGTTTATCTTGCAGTTTCCAAAGTAAGCACTTGAAATTTTATATTTCTGACAAGTGGTCCCAACTGAATTCCAAAAACTTTATTTATTCTTATGAGTTTTGATGGCAGTAATCTTGAATGAATCAATAATTCCACATCTCAGCAATACTGTATTTTCTTCCTTTGGGTTGGAAGAGCTTTGAGAAATGTTTCATGAGATTACAATGAACCAAAGAGATCAGGTTTCACTGGGGGTTTGCAAATACTGGTTAGTGAACAAGTCTCTTTTTAATGTAAGTAAACTTTTATGCTGTATATTTTACCTGCAATGATAATAAGACTATTTAACACAATTTTTATCCCTGTGTTATAAATGTCATTTCTTAATTGGTTCTATCATAAAAACATGGAAAATGTTTATTAAACTGCAAAAACATCATTTTTTGTGGGATATCCTGCTATAGTTTTTCAGTGAATATCTGATAGAGTCTCAAGTACTTCAATATAGTTTATGGCAGCCACAAAAATGGAGTTTCTGGAGTATAACAACTACAGTTAAACAGGAAATAACACTTTAAACCAGGAACAGATTTTTTTTCATTTTTTGTTAAATAGTGTAATTTGTCACTAAAGTGATGCAGGTGACAGTTCTTGAAGAGTAATGTAAGGATTGCTCTATTTATAACTGAATGCACTGAATATACCATGCCACTTTAATGTTTGGATAATAGACATCATTTGGCAAGATATTAAATATTTATTCTAGGTAAGAAAGGCAGACAATTTGGCCCTCCAAATGTCAGACTGCTAGTTCCAGCAATTCTAGGTATAGTAGCTAGTTTTGAGGAATGCAACATTTGGAAGGTTGCGTACTTCCCACCCTATTTGGGATATTCAAAAAATATTTGCAGCTTACTTAGGATCTTATCACTGCCATGGGTGATCAAATGAATTACTTAACCAAAATAACTAATATAGTTTAATAAACAAATTGCTCAATTTTTAAAATGTAGGAATTAACCAGCATTGATCTCTTAACTTTCTACAGTGTCATATTTTCCCACTGGGATAAAGTTCAGAGGCATAACTGAGAGAAATTCATCAGAGAAAGTAGATGTGAGTCTATGAAGGATTATGCTACCAGATTCTTTTTTTCATTTAGTCTGTAAGGAGCTACAAGACCCCTTTGCATACTGATATTTTTCATTTATTATAATTTTTTTCCATATAAAAAGGAACTCACTTCTTAACTTTTCCAAAAACGTTCCCGGTAAGGAGAATCACAAAAACATCTCGAGTTTTTAACTTACACTTGAAGCATTTTAAAGTAAACTTAAAGTGGAAATCATGAGGATTGTAAAATTAAAAAGATGCATGACTTACTCATGTTATTCAAGTGTTCCAAGGTCCTAAAAATGCCCCTAAACTTAATTGTAAATAATACTAATATAATTTAAGAGGTTCAAATTTTTAATTTCATAGTGGGCAACACTGAATATTTCCTCATCATTGGAAACAAAATCAAGCTCTTTCTTGAAAAATATGTTTTTGATGGCAAAGGTAATATTCACAGATGGTATACTATGGAGGAAAAAGAGCATAGCAGCCATAGCAGGGCACACTGCACTACAATCAGCCCCCCCCCCCCATTTGCAAGTTTAATTTTTAAGGATTTGATTATTCATGGATTTAATTAATATATTATTTCCAGAAATCTCTCGATCTTCACAGGTGTCTCTGTGGTCAATATTTGTTGGAGGTTCCCCGTAAAAGTCATGCTGAAAAGACTTTCCTAGGAATCCCAAGTGCTCCAGGTGTTTTTGTTAGTCCTGCAGAAGCTAGAGTTTATTATAGAGAGATGTTCTCTTAGGTTAAAATAATAGTGTTTTTTCTTTTTTTAAAAAAACCCCAGTCTTCCCACTTGTATCGTGCTTCTGTGCCCGCCCCCCCCCCCATCCCTTGCAAAGGTAGACTACCATGCGAATTATTTCATTGTGATTCCCCTTTAATTACCATAGCAACATCATGTGGGATCCTGGGGTTTACTGTTAGGGGGAGGGCATTTTGTATTCTAGGAAACTGTTCTCTGGATTCCATTGGATATAGGCATGACAGTTCAGTCTTCAGCATGACTTATCTTAAATTATCATTCCAAAGTCCACACAGATGATATTGGCCATCACATATTTTGATACCTGAAATGTTAGTCCTGTTTCTGAGTATATGTGAACTACTGGTTTAAAAAATGGCACCAGTTTCCCCTATGAGCTGTAATTTTTGATGCACCGATGGCACCTATCACCATTTGCTCATCCATAAAAATCTTGTAACTATATGTAAGAACTAGAGGAGCTGCAATTCGTGAAATTTTCTGAAGCAGCACCCGAAACTATGCCAGAAACAAGTCTAAAAACCAAGACACCAAGATGTTTTTTGGTTGGGCTGTGTATTTAATTCAGAGATCCAACAGTACTATAATTTCTAATTACATCAGGTGCAGTAATGTTTTCCGTGGTACTAAAAATGCCCCTAAACTTAATTGTAAATAATACTCATATCCTTTAAATGGTTCACATTTTCTCAGTGGCCAAGAGGACTGTGCTGAATATTTCCTCACCAGTGGAGACAAAATCAGGTTCATTTTGTGAAAAGGTGTTTTTGTGGGAAAGGTAATATTCTTTTAAAATTTATCACGGACAGTATACTTAGAACTACGGTGGCAAAAGAGCTTAGCAGCCATATATTTTATTTGTGTTTGAATCTTTATATGAAGCAACAACACAGCACAAGACACTTGTATTATTTGATGTACTTTATTGAAAAAAGAAGAGAGGAACCATTCTTCCTCCTGGGAGAACCCATTTTTTAACTCCTCCTGAGCCACAAATCAAAAGAGATTTGCAGCAATCCAGGAGGAAGGCAATGCAGAGGAGGAAGGCAATCACATTTTCAGTGTCCACCAATGGAGACAAAATCAGGTTGTTTTTGTGAAAAGTTCTTTTAGGGAAAGGTAATATTCTTTTAAAATTTATCACGGAAGTATACTTAGAACTACGGTGGCAAAAGAGCTCAGTAGCCATATATTTTATTTGTTTTTGAATTTTTATATGAAACAACAACACAAAACAACACACTTGTATTAATTGAGCATTAATTGATGTTCTTTATTGAACAAAGAAGAGAGGAACCATTCTTCCTCCTGGGAGAACCCATTTTTTAACTCCTCCTGAGCCACAAATCAAAAGAGATTTGCAGCAATCCAGGAGGAAGGCAATGCAGAGAAGGCGAAAAACCCGTTT